ATGATATGTAAAATGCAATAAAAAATGTTTTAGTCTAAAGAGCCAAAGTGCAAAGCTTGGGTCGGTCTTGATCACATTGTGACCGACTCAACGACGCTAAAGACTACGGTCTTCGTTCTTGGTCTCTTTTAGCTCTTGTTCTCTTGCTTTCTTCTTATATTTATTTCTCGCCTTGTATATTCAACAACTTGTCTCGTTCACGGCGGTTTGGCATTATCAAAACCTGTCATAAAAACGAACACGGCTTTAGTACGAAAACACGATAAACCCGTGTTTCAATAGGATTCTCCATCACGAACGGACTTCGTCTTCTTGTCTTCTTTTAATTTTCGAGAGAAAAGAATATTGAGGTAAAGAAGAGAATTACATCCAGAGTACAGAGATGAGGCACGACACGTAGGCCGTATTTAAAATTATAACAAATATAACTAAGCCACAATCATCCACCATGCAATAATACATACATGCATCACATGCATCACATCATATACATATTAAAGCATACACCGGGCGAACCGCGCTCGCCCCATACCTAGTTTATTCTATTTTACGGAATAAACTATCAACAATAAATTAATTAAACTAGCAAGTAATTTAATTAAAAATCATAAAATACTTTAAATTTCCAGAATGTTAGAAATTTTGTTTTCTAAATTCCAGAAAATAAAATATTTTATATTTACCGTATATATATTTAAATTCGAAAAAGGGATTTTATTTCGAATTAAATACATATATGTTTTCTAAATTAGGAAATAATTATTGGAGACTCCCAGTAAACTTTATTAATCTGGAAATCCTAAAATTCCAGAATGAATAAAATTTAAAATTTTGAAAACCATTTTTCATAGCTAGAAAACCGAAATTATATTGTGAAAATATATTTCAAAATTCCAAAAATATCAAAATTTATTTTAAAGTCAAAAATAAGTTCCAGAACCAGAATTTGATGTTTCCAGAATTTAAAATATTAATTTTGCAATTTTAAATAATAAAAAAGCGGACTAGTGAATAGTACCGATCCAATTACTTCAAAAATACAAAATAAATACTTTTACGTGCTTAAAAATTATGAAAATTTTTATAAAAGCTTAAAATCTCTGGTGGCAACTTATTTTGAATTAAAATGAATTTTCGATTGTCAAAAATAATTTTCCTATTTTCTATTCAATAAACGAATTTAAAAATAGAAAAATAGGAAATTAATTCCAAAAATCGATTTTAAAATTTCTGAGTTATATTGACATTTCAAATACATCCCAGAAAATATAAAATTTAATTTTCATAAATATTAAGTGTTTATGGCACAAATAACAAGTATTCTACACATAAACTACTTAATAAGAATAATATAAAAATACCCCAAACAGTAATTCCGAAAATTACTAAATAAAATTATATTAGGTCCAGTATCTAAATATGGCCACCTAATTAAATTTTATAATGGGACAAATTTTTGTGTCCAAAATTTATTGACTAATCTACAAAAACGATAACGGTAAAAACTACTAAACTAGTAACTTTGTAAGCCGGCTCTGATACCACTGTTGGGAAACTAGGCTTGGATAACGCAGTAGAAAACAAAAATTTAGAGTCCAAAACTCGATTCCACCCAAGAACAAGTTACGTAAATTACTAGCTATAGTAAGAAATTTACCTTAGCGGTGAAAACGGAAAACGGAGAAACGGTCGGGGATGGTTTTGAGGAGATGAACGTAGCGCCAAACGTGTGAAGCCTCCAACGTATCCACACGAACTTGCTCCGGAGTCCAACATTAAACTTGTGCTAGCAAGTTTAATATAGGATAGTAAAAACTATAATAATACTACTTTGGGAGTAATAAATATATAGTAAAAATATTTATCTTATAAATAATTATTTATAATATTTTGTGTATATTTCTAACAATTTAAAAAAAATGACTTTGAACACAAAATGAGATTTTTCTTCTCTCTTGAAATTGATGGCCGAAAGTAATGTATTAA